TCATCTACATCCGATATTCTCGTACACAAGTAAGTATGCCGTTTCACCTGTGCGTGTCTTCTTTATGCAAACAAGAAAGTATACGTATGATCACGAAAAGGATTTTCACCGTTGAGAAAATCAGTGGCTCGTGCCGGCCGGCCGGTTTGCTTTTCGTTCACCTACTTTGCCAACTTTTACGCTGGAAAGAAAGAGCGCCAATAACTTATCCGTGCCCCGTATCCTCTCGATAGAAAACGAACGCGAGCGTTTGGTGAGATCTTGGATTTCGCCACGGGGGAAGAGCATCCATCTCGAGATAGGAGGAAGAGAAGTGCTCGCGTCACCTAGTGAGATTCACGAGAACCGCTGGTACCATTTCTGCCTCAGCTGGGAGAACCAGGCTGGTCGTTACGGCCTTTGGGTCAACGGACACGTCTGGGCCCAAGGTCAGTCGGAACAGGTAAACGAATTAGCATTTTTTACGAATAATCAATAGTATTCACCTAACCTTGATGTAGAGTGCAGGTGAAAAGAAAAAACAAGGTGCTGTGATACGTTTCAGAGCATAGGCCATAAGATCCCGAGAGGTGGTGACATCGTACTTGGTCAGGAGTATACCGACTTCGATAAAGGGTTAGAAGATGGTATCGAAGGGTCAGTTCTAGGCTTCAATCTGGTGTTAGCCTCGGCCTTCGAGCCCCTGTACGAGACTGAAGCCTCCTACGAGGCGGTGCAGTTACCCACCGCTTCAAGTTACGCCACGGTGCCTCTTTTTGCGAGGATTCCGGCGAAAGTGATGCAACGCGGCATCGATTACGGTACGCGGACAAGAACGAGAACGAGAACGCTGTACGCTTTCGTTCCAACCTCCAATCAAATTCGAGGTCGACGGTATACCAACGATGCTCAATTGTTGCCTGTACAGAGAAATCGTACGAGAAGAGAAACGGTTCGAGAACTGCCTTTAGGGTTGCAATTAGTCAAATTGTCGTACGTACGGTGCGAAATCGGCAGAGGAAGCCCGTTTATAGGCGGCTCTTTGATGCTGATCTCGTGGACGAGGACTCCCGTACGAATCTTCGGTGGAGCTACCTTGAAGAATGCTAAGAGCGAATGCGGGAATTTCTAACGATCGGCTAGTTCCGTTCGAGATCGATCGAAATTGGTCTGGATACAGAGAGACAGGGAAAGCATTCCTGTATATTACAGCTTCAACTACAACGAAATTTCACAACGACCTCACTCTTATAAGGTCCACAGAGAATTATTCTTAAAGGAAACTAGGGAACGCCGATCATTGAGACAGCTTTCCTTTTACAAACAACTCGTCGAGAGCCTCGTGACGAGGATCAAGTCCCGGAGATCGAGCCTTAAATACCTGTTAGATAATTGTATTAGCCGTAATTTGCCGATGAAAGGCAGCATTGTCTCGGTCCTCGGTGAACCGGCGATAAAATCTAGGCGCGCGGTGCAACAGCTTGCCGCAACCTCGGAAAAACTCCTCGGGAACAAACGTGCTCTGTTACAAAACCGAGGACAGATCGATATCGTTCGGCGAAAAAAGGTCGCGCGAGTGCTCTTTCGCGGGCAAAATCGACGCTTGTTTTTCACCCGTTTCCTTCCGCGACTCACTTTCCCCCTGGCCCACGCGAAAAACCTCCGCCGGTCACAATGCCGCACACGCTTCGAATCCGCGCGAACCAAAGCGACACGCGTGTCTGTCGCTGTTTCGCGCTTCACGAGTTTCGCAATCGTTCTCACGAGCACTTGCATCCGTGAATCCATATAGGGTGAACGAACGCTTTTCTTCTCTACCATGTATGCACCGCGAGGTTTGTGAATCATTAACATGTTCACTGTCCTGTGGCTCGTGTGTGAATATCAGAAATGTAATTGTTTTCAAATAAAACAACGTTACGTGTACACTCGTTAACCCTTTCACACATGCATATGCAGGACACGTCGTTGAACGTTGATAAATGAAAAGAAAGAGAAAAGAAAATCCGTTACGCAACGAAGACTGTCTCGTCGCGTTCGACAAAGTCCGAAGATTCGTCCGAAACACGTACCGTATCTCCGAAACTTTCACCGGTAAGAGATGAATATTTCTCAACGCGTTGTTACATGATCGAACAGCGTGTATTTACAACCATACACGAGCGTCGTAAAGTTGATTTCGACCCTGAAACGGCGAAACCTTGCCCGTGTCTTATCTACGATCCAAGAGCGTACGTAGCGAGAGGGGAGGGTTGCGTGACGGTTCGAATCGAGTTTGTCTAGCCAGGAATGGAAGTGAAGTTCCGTTTCACCAATGTCCCGGGACCCTGTTCGCCGAATTGTTTTCACTTTCACCGAAAATCGCGTGGTCAGGTTTTACATTCGAAACGACGCGACGCGACGCTGCGTCTCAGGAAACGCCCAGCTCCGTCGTCGACCAATCTCCTTTTCCTATTTCCTCTTCTATTACGACCACGGAATTAAAAAAAACATATATACGGTTCACTCGAAAAACCGGTCGTCGATTACATCCTTTCCAGTTCCGATTCTTACCGAACAAATGATTTTTTTCTCTTTCTTTTCTCTGTTTTTCCGTTTAATATGTCAATCGTCACGGTACGAATCATTCGTGAAGAAATACACGGAGAGGGGATGGGCTTTCGCTGATAAGTACGGCCGTCGGTCATCGATGCAAAGTAGGATCTCTGGAAAATCGACTCGCGGAGTCTCGATTTACATAACCGCGAGCCTGTGTTGCACAATTATAACGCTAAAGCGCGACCAATTGCAGAAAACTCGACACGCCGAGCGGGGCGAAAAATGTTCAGGGAGAACGCGTCACCATCGGGCGTATCTGGGTTAAAAATGAACGGCCGCGGCGCCTATCGGTTTATGGTGTCTCTCCTCGCTGATCGATCGATCGATCGATTATTCCTTTCTAATTCGTCGAATCCGAAGACGAATTCGAGAAAGTGTAACGTGATCCACGGTCATTAACGGTGGTAGACTGCTTTCAATCACGCTTAAGTCCGCTATAGGAGCGAAACAATTAGGATCCTGGATTCCCTCGCGTCTGCATTCCGGTCCGTTCCTCTTATTAGCTTTTTCCAGACGACGGAGTATCATGCCTCGTCTCCAGGAGAACGACGCAATCACGTCTAAGCCGCGACGCAATTACACACCGAATCGACTTTCATTTTCCAGGGTGAGTCGTCCTTTCGCCGCCGCCGCGACTCCCGCTCACCTTCCTTCCGGTCTTCCACCGGAGAAAGGAGACGAGGATGAATGATCCGAGATAAAAGAGGATGGAACGACAGTTGGGAAAGGCAGGAGCGAATTTTTCGAAGGAGATACGCGTATCTAATTTACGCGTCGATACTTTCCTCTCTCCAGTGTCTCTACGCGGAGACTTCCGGTATTACAACCGCGACGCGCATTATCTTTTCTCGACGGCCTACGGAGAGCTTGCGGTTCTTCCATCGGCGAAAGTTCTGACCTCCGATCAATAGGTCGGAGTTCAAGACCTCCTCGTTCGTTCCAATTTTCTCCTTGTTCGAATATCTACCGTTCGTTACCGTTATCACGAACAATATACAGGGTGTCCTTTCATATACGATACGCGAGATATAATTCGAAGTAAACCTACGTGCATACTTGGAAGCATGGTTCCACTCGAGGTCTGACTGAATTAGAATCCCGCGAACGAATCGTGGCGCCCTTCTAATTCTCAAACTGGCCACGAGTTATGGAACGGTTGCTACACTTGCGGGTCCACTGACTAACTGACCGGTCACTCGAGAAAGATTTCTCGAGGCCAGAAGCCCGGGGCATCCAGACAGGATCCCATTCTGCGTGCGAATTTCACAATTACCCGAACCCTAGTCCCACTTTCTCCCTCGTAACTGGATCG